CGGTTCTAGGAAAGTTCTTTGTGCGCGCCACGTATATTTATGTGTCAAACCGTAGTCCGCCGCTGGTTAAAACAATTCGCCGCAKTCGGTCGACTACAATATAATATTATAATCATAAAATATATAATATATATATATATAGGTATTATAAACGGTACACGACGGGCTATTATTATTATTGTTATTATTTATTACAATTGTTATAATCGTCGTCGTCGTTATCGTATCGATCGAGATGTATCGATCGTCGTTGGTCAATAAATGAGCGTCCGGTCGTGGCGAGCGGATTACGCACGGCGGCGGCAGCTTTATATACGTACATATAAGTACATAATATAATAAATACGGAGATCGTGACCCCGGTTTTTCTCTCAGTCACTCGCGGATCTACGAGTTAGCGGGGCGCGTTTCAGGCACGAAAACCCTGTTGCACCTCTACGCATTTTATGTAGGTATAATATGTATATGTATAATATGAYGTAGATATAATGTATGCTGCACGGCACGAGCCGTGGACGGTATAAGACACGGTGCGCGCCGGTGGCCTCCGACGGTGCCGGAAGAGAAAATTTTGATAGAAAAAATAATGTATTATTACTATTATATGCTCGCTACTCGTACTGTTCGACGACGACGACGACACGAAAAACGTTGTATTTATAGAAGAAAGATCTATACAATTAACGGTCACAACACAAGTATAGTACCTTATGAAACGGAAGAAAAATCTACACACAGGCCGCGAATCTCGGCGACTGCACACACGCGACAGCGATGGTCGTGCTCGATTTTTTTTTAATTAAAAACGCAGAAAATGCACGCAACGGAGACAGTGGAGGAATAAGTAAAAACCACGATCGGGTAAACGGCGCTTTCGTGTAACGGTGACGGCCGTTGTTGATAATCTAGTGCGTGTACGATGTTATGTATTATATTCTGCTGTTGTTTAATAGGTAAAATATGCTCCAAAAATACAAATTGTAAGACAATTATTAAGTCCAACAGGCAAAAAATAGATTCAAGAGTAAAATGTTATTTTTCGTTYCCACCCTTATATGTTATGGATACCGGATAGTTATACGCATAATYAATATTAATAATAACATAGGTAATCTGCAACTGCCAATCATAATATAATATTAACTGCAAACTAATATTAATAGCATTCCTAGAATATGAAAAGTTAATCAAATAAAGTTATTATAATTCGATATAATAAATTAAATAAACGTCTCATTTAATAAGTAAAATAACCTAAGGAAAATTGAACCCTTCTAAGTCAGCGATCAGCCTGTATAATATTTATGCTGAATCTAGGACGTTTCGTTTGCTTCGAAAAAAATAAGTTAAAGTACATTTCGTCCTCAGTAAATATTACAATTTTATACCCTCGGTATAAATTGTTTATAATATTTAGGTCTCATAATCATTAGTTTTATTCATTTCTTCAGTAATTATTTAATATTAATTTAACATTAATTAATTTTTTCTTGGTCGAGTTATCTTATTTCTTATTTAATATAATTTCGACATATCGTACAAGTCAAAAATTAAATGTTTTAAATATGTACTAATACAATAAAGATTTGATATGGAGTAGGTATGTATATGAACATTGTGAACTAGACATTGGACATTAAATTCCAAACCGGGATTTTCAGATATCATTGTATACAAGGTGAAACAGAATGACTTGCTAAATAAAATAACTTTTATATAATCAACAACATTTTTATATTTTGTGTAGAGATGTTCTSGCAACGAATTCAGTGTACAATTTTTTTATTTTTAAAAATTTTAAATGTTATCAAATTTTTTTTGGAAAAATTCAAAATAGTTAATTTGTAGTTCTAATTTTTAGAAACGTTTRACGGTATACAAACTTGTATTTATGTGAAATTCACAATTTTTTAAAATATTAATAATTTTTGGAATGAATACATTTCTTTTGGAAATTTTCTGATTAAATTATATATATTTACATATCAAACTCAAAGAGACCAAACATCGTACGGCTAATAATTCCCGGTTACTAAATTTAGTATCTTAATATTTATCGTAAACGAAACGTAAACTCAATTTTTCGACGGGGCTAACCCCGTCAGATTACCATTTATTACGCCTGTGCTCGGCCGCCGGCGTATATTACTAAATAATAACATGCCTATTACAATAATATATTATTATAACTGCGGCTGACGATTCGCGGCGGCAGCGATGACCGACTTATTAAACACGGCGGAGAAGACGTATATTATAATATTATATATATTATATACGCGTAAACGACGATGAATAATTATAATTCGTTTTCTTGAAAAACCGCCTGTGTGCATGGACGAACGAAAATATATTATTCCGTTTAGGTACGATAATATAATATTATATATACGTAATATATAGGTACTTATAATACGTGGTAGTGCGGCGGCGGGCAGACGAGGGGTTAAAAAACGAGAAACGGTACGCCGGTTAGATATGAACGTCGACGAGATGGACGGCGCGACGGCGATGGGTTGACGGGGTGCAGTGGGTGGGTGAGGGGACGACGGGTATATAACACACTTACATACATAGGTACGTTTATTATATATATTTAAATGCTGCGTTCCGGGAATTAAACGAGTTTTGTGGACGGTGGTCTTGTCGATCCCGCTGCCGCCGCCGCCGCCAACTCGGTCGTTTTACTTGCGCGTGTACTTGCGTGCGCGTGTGCGTGTGCTGTGCCGCGGCCGCGGTGCGTGCACACGCTCGGACGACTCGTTCGACGGACGATCGGACGGACCGGCACCACAACGGTGGCCGCGCGGTCATTATAATAGATCGTCGCGAACGCTGCAACAGTAATAATAATATTGTGTGTGGGGTGTACGCCACGGTCGAATAAAAAAACGTTTTGCCGTCGTTAACGCCGCCACGTCTATAATAGTAAATAATACAAAACGCTCGCGTATAATATCAATAATATTATTATAATTTAATAACACCGCACACGCTATATTATAATATGGAAATTATCGGGAACGATGTATTATAGTATATATATATATATATATATTGTTATGCCCGGAAGCGAGTACATAATATTATATACACAACGATATAATATTATATATAGGCATCGGTAGTTCGGTAGTAGTTTCGCAGTATACATATAGAACTTCTTTATACATATATATATATTGTTTTATATTCACACAATACCATACAATGTTATACATATATATGTATTGTATATGTCTCAGTGTATTATAATAATACCGAGTACCATGGCTTGCACGCGACGGATACTGTATTATTGTACAACAATTTAACAACAAGTCGACAGTTATGTCCATTAGATCCCGAATGTCCGATGTATGGGTTCCTGCCTATATATTATTTATCGTTGGCGTAGTGCCAAATAGACATTTTATAATCAGCCATTATTGCAGTATATTATAATAAAGTCTCGGGACTTAAATGGGGCACATCACATTATCTACTATATAATACGATAAGTCGTCACTTGTGATTATATTATACACGGGGTGGCCAATGCACAGGAAATACTTTTTAATAATATTTCTGTATTATTATAATGCATAYAATACGCGCGAATAGGTGTACGATATCCGTTTAAACTGAAAAGGCTTTGGTCTGCTCGTTAAGAAACTGCGGGATAAAGATATATAAATAATACCACTATCGCTCTACACGATGATAATATATATTGTATGTATAAGATCATGAATAAAACCTTATTTTGAGGTCAGATATCGATTTCACCACCTACAAAGCTCGAGCATTTCCCGGAAATCACCCGTCTATAATATACCTATTATGTGAATAATATAAAAAACCTATTATTATTAATGTGTTTCAATTTTAAATGGCTTCAAAATAAATGTATATGCTTTATTGCTGTTATACAACGTATTATTAGAGCCACATTAGACGACGGATTCACATCTTCGATACCTAAGTGTACACCGATCCATTATTATAGCGGGCTAGCATAAAAATATAATATTGAAATAACCCGATTAAACTGTACTTGCGTTACTATTAAGTCTAAACTATACCAGGTGATTTTTTTTTTAATCAAAGAACACACTTTTATATAAAAACAACTAATGTTATCTTAAATATTTTTTACTTAACTTATTTAGCTTATAAAAAATAAATATTTTTCAAATTTTGACTTTTTAATATTAATATACGTATTTTTAATCTCATAAATAAAATAAATATATTATTTAGCGTATTTATAAACATGAAAACCAAATTTTTGACGAAAATATTATAAGTTAGAAGTTCGTAAAGTTTAGATGAACAAAGTAGTAAATCAACCCTTTCGCCACTCAAGTATAATAAAGCATTCATCCAAAATTGAATTGTTATACATCGAAGTATTCAAAAATATATTCTACTTTAGAACAAGGAATTAAAATTGGATGTTTTCGTTTGAAATTATAAGTTTCAAGATAAAAAATTATAGTAAATATTTTTATTCAAAAATCTTGTTTTGTGACGACCTAAATTCGTATTTCATTAAAAAAATTATTTTATAAAACGATAATAAATTATAAAATAATGAATGTTSTTTGATAAAAATATCAACCATAGGTAATGAAATAATRACTAATGATTAAATCAATCAAATGTTGAATTCAATGAAATACATTTTTGTTTAACTATGTAATTCTTCACTTTTTTTTAAATCTATAAATATAGATTCTTTGAAAGACTGTTTTAAGGTACACACAAAAAATCCTAACCAATAAAATAATAATATTGCAATTAAATGCAAAATTAGTCGAATAAAATGTCGTTAATTTAATAACCATGAATTTTATACGACGTACTATGTATATTTCAGATCTATACCGTCACATTGTATGAATACGGGTTGGAAAGGAAAATCACACGGACTTACAACCCCCGTAAATAAAAGTAATATTATGATATGTCCGTTTCAATTACGAATAAATAAATAAATATAAAAAGTTTAACAATACTGACTGTCCAGCTGAAGGTAAACTGTAAGGCCAGGTTGCCACCGGCTGCACCACGGTTACCGATGTCCGCRGGTGAATTGGAGTCCGGCACTGCAGCCGCGGCGTCACCGCCAAGCGTAAACGAATTTCCGCCGAGGACGGGACTAGTGACATTACCGAAGGAGCAGTGGTGCAGGTGCGAGTTTGGAGTTTGGTGGTGATTGGAACCCGTGGCCGACGAATCGTCTTCGCCGATGACTACCCTGCCACCGGCCAACACGGACGAGGATGACCCACCAGCTGGCTGCAGCTGTTGCTGTTGTCGGCTCTGGTATTCGCGCAAGCACACCTGAAACAGTGTGTTGCACTGCGGTGCACCGGTACATTGCAGTGTGTTGCGCTGTGCCGATGACGGTTGCTGTTGGGCTGACGAGGAGGAATCGCTGCCACAACACTCGCCCGTGGCCAGTTGGCCGCGATAATTTTCAATCTCCAGTATTTGCAGCTCGAAAAATCCCAGTGCTCGGACGTCCTGTATGCGTGCAAAACGTTAAGAAAATCGATAATTTACTATATTATTATATGATATAGGTAATGGTATCTAACGCGATTATAATATATGTTTATAAGTTATATAATATAACAACAATAGCAACTACAACAATAACAACAACAATAACTAGGCATAAAGAGCAACGTGGCGACGACAACCGACAACGGACTTACCAATCAGTTCGCTCGATCAAACGTCATTCGTCCCTATAAGTAGGTGGTAATGGTATAGTCCGACTACGTTTATACGAATATAACAATAAACATTGTTATGACCATCAGACGTCATATTTTCTATCCGTCCTTAACTCTAATCATAATAATAAATAATAGTCGTAACTATTGGTGTAGCCAGTTATGCATGATATTCGGTCGATCGTATCATCTTGATGTAAATTGTACCCTGTATACAGTGAGTATGCAATTCGACTATCTAACAACTATAATGTAAAAGTCTATTATAATATGTAAGAAAACAACGACGATTATATGTATATACTGTTGGTATCAATGTATAATAGTAATACCTAAAAATTATGGAGAACGAAAATCGAGATTCGAATTAGCCATTAGGGGTTTAGCGAAAATAAACAACGAGTAAATCWGAATTAAGTTAAATGTTTTGCCGTGTCTAAAAGATGATTTCTGTCCAACCTGAGATTCCACAGCAGAATCTAGATAATGGTTATAATTATACCGTGATCACAACGACCAATCAGAATACGATAAAATGCACACGATAGACGACATATGACGAAAAGTGCTTGTATCAGTGGSGTAGCCAGGAGCAGGGCTRAGAGGATTGCAGCCCCTCATCACCAAAAAAAAACTTTGAGAAAATTAAAAAATTATTTTAATGGTCTATGCAAATTGGTAAAATATTCTTAAATTGTATTTTTAAAAGAAAAAAGAAAATTCATTGCTATTTTTATTATTTTTATCTATATGTGAAACTTATGGAAGAACCTGTAAATAAACTACTGTTGTGTAAAAATTGATTAGCCCCCTCCCAAGAAAAATCCTGTCTCGCCACTGATTTTTATTATTCTAAACTGATTGAAGGAGATTTTTTTAAGATACAAACCGTATAGGTATGTGCAACATGTAAGATGTAACCATATAGGTCTGTTACATTTTGAATTGAGAGTACTGCTGAACATTATGTTATCTACTATATATAATATGGTGCATGCACATACATCAACCTACACCTCCTTCGGACTCTAAACTCTCACGTCATGTTGATGATGGTAACGGGTGGGGGTAGTATAATTATATCGTTTCCGCCGCATATACCCGAGGGCACCAAATCCGTTAGCCCGTCAGGGCGGCGGCTCCGATAATTCGAATAATCGGCGTTTCGCCACCGCGCTTATAGCCATATACGTGTGAGCCAGTACGACACGAAGACAGCGATGATTAATAATGCGCTGTATGACGGCGGCGGCGGCGCCGAAATTGTTTCTCATGAAACTCCATATTGTTACGCTAATGACGAGGTAGGTGGTGCAGGAGTACCTTTTTGTGCAGACGGCAGTTAGGTAAAGTGTTAATTAAGATTTTATGTTTTAGGTTTTTATTATATGTTAACATCATACACGTATTCACATGGATTAAACATTAATATGTAAGGGGTTAGATTATTAACCAGCTGATTTAAAAATAATTGAAATTTAAACCTGACACTATAGGCATGTAACCACTACAWTTTATAGAACAAAATTCAACTACGTAAAGGCTTGCAACGAATATCGAAATATTAAACACCCAATAACTCTATGGTGGCGAATTTCACAGGTGCGTTATCCTGAAGCTCTAACAAAAAACCTATACATTAAATGGTTACATTTCATGAACATAATTAGTTTAAGAATATATATGATCAAGAATACTTKATACATTTCAAATAGATTGTAATTGTTTATAGCTGCTAAACAGCCAAACGTTAATACAGTTTATTGTATAGAACATGGGTAGTTAATATTAGTGATACCTAACCCTTTAAATTGCCTACTTATAATGACTTTAACTCCATTATCATGAGCAATAAAATAAATGTACAATACCTTTATTGGGTATTCGTGTCCCTTTGTATATACAAAGAACTAGGAAGTGTATTGTTTATAGCATCAATACACTTATACTACATCCGTTTCTTTTACTGTAATACCCATATTTAAGAACTTTGTGCACAAATAATAAGCAAGACACATTTCCTGTCCCTTTTCTATTCAGAATTTCAGAAATTCAATGTAAATTATCTTTGTCAAAAAGGGATAGTCGGTAAACACATGAAATTTCCAATAGGATACAACAGGTATCCCATACGGCTGACCGTAACTATTATTAACTATTATTATTATTATAAATTTAAACCATGCTAAATAAACGACGCTTCAATAACTTATTATTACAATAATATCATAATACTATACAACRCACGGTCGTAAACTCGTATAAACAGTTTTTGGACCTTTTGTGTTTGTTAATATACTCGTAGGTATAATTCTAACTAGTAGACAGGTAAGTCATCACTTCATCAGTAACAATACACATCCGGACCCAGCTACTACATATATTATAGGTAGGTTCCTATTTGAACTGTGCATAAAACGAACTCAATACCTTAATACTGTTTCAATATAATATAACTAATTATCGCATATAAGGTCGTCAGACACTACCTACAGGCCTCTACACATACATAAATACAACGAAGCGCGCGCGCGAACACAATAACTAAGTGCATGTCCATTGTCAGATACTTTATTTCGGGTCATCGGTGGCAGGACGCGGACCGGAGGGGGGGGGCACGAAAACGATTGTTATACGTGACGACGCGACGAAAGAGCTCACACACATACACTCACGCGCGATAATAATGAAAATTAAAATGATAAATGATCAAGTGATTTGTCTCGTCGTTGTCGATCACCGACACACGCTAAACGGACCGACGTGGCGACGTCGTCATCATCATCATCAACGTGATGCATAAATATATATATTATATATGTATGTAGTGAGTGCGACGGCCTGGCCATTTGTTATACGTAAATTCTCACTAGTGTGATGGGGGGAGGGAGGGGGAGATGGAGAAAAAATCAGTCGCCCCGCACGACCAGTCTCTGCTTGGTAGATACCATAAAAACCTACCTAGGCCACGCGTGCTTTGCGGGAAATCACATGCAATATATTACTGTATACGATATTTGCACGGCGTGACGATAGCGATGAAGGCGATTTCGAGAATAAATTTTGTCATCTCGTTTTTCGTAGGTATAAAATACGCTCGTAATGCAATAATAGKATAATAGTATACATGCATTTATGTATCTGTTACTAGTGTTACTATATTAATAGTATATTTTATTATATTATTTAATATATTAAATAGAACGTTAAAATACGTCTGCGTGCGCGATTATAATAAATATTTTCCGCCGAAGATCGCGTGAACCCTTTCTTTTKCCGYCGTTTAAACAACCATCCTAACTTATGAACACGCATGCTAGACCGCCGTATTAATCGCGTTTTTATTATTATTATTAAAAAAACGCGTTTTTGTGTCGTATAGGAAAAAAATTCACGTCGTCGTGCTAGGTTTTGTGTATATAAAGTCGCGTGTGTGTGTGTGCATAGTGTGTCTGATGTAGCGCACGAAGACATGGACTATACACGACGACGACGACAACGAGTTGCGTGCCGGCTGGTCAGCGGCGTTGCAGCGGCTGCCACGCGGTCCGGGCGTGCGTGCCACCACGTCCACCGCCCACGTAACGCGTGTATACGCGCGCGCGCGCGCGCTCGAGCTTGTATATAGGTATATTCACAAGTTCTCTCACTCGGCAATCCATCTCTCCGCTGCTGATGTGTACATCTCCTCCTACCACCGTCTCCCGCGCGACTCGTATATTATTATTATTCGTCACGACTCGGCAGGAAACTTGCGCGAACATCACAACGATATAATAAAATACCATATAATATGATATATAATAACATACATCCATGTATATCCATGCCATGTTATTGTATTATATATGATATATATATATATTATAGAAAATGATGTCGTTGTATAGGTACACGACATTTAACCAAATTTCGTTGCGTTTGTACCTATACGTTATAGTCGTAAGTATGCATACGTTGCGAGAGTGGACATAATATACCGTGGTATATATGTATAATAATGTATATATATATGCACATATTTGCGTTAGCGATATCATTATTGATAATATTATACATTATACCTATACCGTCGTCGTCGTCGTCGTCTTGGTATACACTCTATAATGCGTGCATATACATTATATATACGCGCGTGCAGTAGCGAGTATTACGAATGATTTTCGAGGACGGCGGTATGGACCGTAGAAAATCGGAGAATATAACTATGCGTGTCCGTCCAAAGTATATTGTAAAAAGCGGCAAACCGAACGACGGGAGCGATGGTCGGGCCTTGAGTGGGGTTGTATAGGTGCGGGCGAAATGCAATGACGTGTGTAATAGGCGAAACGAATATAATACACCGCCCTCCACCCACCACCCCACTCGCCGCTTCTGAGTCGACGACGTGAGAATAGAACWGAAATAAATGGAATACATTTTTTTAGAATAATAGAAGGTATATAATAATAATAACAATAATAATGTGATATGTACGCTCAGTATACACGGCGACTGCGCGTATAAAACACGACCGGAGTACCGCGGCGGCGGGGAAGAGGGCCGGGCTTAACACCGCAGCGGTACGTGATTATTTCGACAGTACCACCGCGTCTGGGCGGGGCTTGGGCGGCGTGACGATGCGCGTATTCCGCGGACGCGGCCGAGCGAAAAGTTACGGCGCCGGCCGCGAGACGACAGAACGAAAGTCACTCCTCCCCCAGCAACGGCGACGAAGGCGGCCGCGGCCGTTGTCAGCGGACAGCGCGCGTGCGTCATCCTACCCCGTCGAGACCGCTCACCGGC